TTCTGCTAATTCCAGTGACATTGATCCTCATTTCCTATGGCTTTATAGCTCAAGCAGTGTTGAGAATCAGGTCAGCAGAAGGACGACGAAAAGCTTTTGGGACATGTGGGTCCCACATGGTTGTGGTCGCTCTCTTTTTTGGTACAGCCATCTACATGTATCTACAACCACCTTCATCCACCTCTAAGGACTGGGGAAAGATGGTTTCCCTCTTCTATGGGATCATTACACCCATGTTGAACCCCCTTATCTACAGCCTTAGAAATAAAGATATGAAGGAGGCCTTCAAGAGGGTGATGCCAAAAATCTTTTTCTGTAAGAAGTAAGTAGCCCATTGTGATGAAAGTCCTCTAAGTTTCTATCCTTGCAAGTGGTGATAACGTTTGAACTGATTTTCCTACTTTCCAGGCTCTTGTGATTTCATTGAATTCTCCCCACAGTTAGAAATGTCCTCCTCTGTTCAAAGGCAACACTGAGATACCTTTTCTAAGTTAAAAATTTCATTGCTTTCCAGAAGTTCCCCCAATGCACTCTGTTCCTTGAGGATACTTGGATGGTTGATCTTCCTGTTTATATACGATCTGTTCTAGTATCACTTTGTGTACCATCTTACTGTACCATCTTAGTTTGTGATTTCTACACCTTTATCATTAAATAGACTATGATCTCAAGCCAAAAATTTCCCATCAGCACGAAGGCCTCGGTCACTTCACCCTCACACCCCCTGATAAATCCATTGTGTGTTCCTTCCAGAGCTGCTTGCTGTGTGTAGACTGCCTCCAATCTAGTGGGCTCCAACTAGTTAGGTGTGCACATCTCATACTAGAGACTTGAAATGTCAGCTGAGCTTCATTTCCTGCTCTATTCTTTTTTTTTTTAGTGGTTATTTATTTTTGAGAGAGAGAGAGAGAGAGAAAGCGTGCACAAGTGAGGGAGGGGCAGGGAAGGAAACACAGAATCTGAAGCAGGCTCCAGGCTCTGAGCTGGCAGCATAGAGACTGAGGTGGGGCTCAAGACATTGTGCTCAAATCCACTAATCGTGAGATCATGACCTGATCCGAAGGTGGATGCTTAACCGACTGAGACACCCAGGCACCCCTTTCCTGCTCCATTTTTAATTCATCCTTCTATTCCCCAGCAATAGAATTTCTCTTTTTTTTCTCCTTTGTTCAAATCCTGATTTGTCTCAAGTTCTGCCATAAGCATGAGGGAACTTCTCTAAATTATCATGCTAATTATTTGTAGAAATGTTAACAGTAATCTTTTTTCTAACAGTGATCTGAATTAATTCATTCCTTGGGCTGTCACTCAATAAATGTTTATTTTCATTAGATAGCTCTAGACCATAGGAAAAATGATCAACATTTCCTCCTGAAAAAATATTCTATTGAAGAAAATGCCCTTAAAGTCAGATAATATTTTCATATTAAATAAATTTAGTTTAATAGTATTAAAATATGGAGTAAAAAAAACACAACCATAAATTGAACCTGGAAATGTTGTCTGAAAAGTTTAGGGTGTATCCAGTTAGCAAATCAGAATAATTTCAGCATAGAAGGTGCAGCATCAGTCGAAAATAACTGCAAACATATGTACAGAATATGGCTCTTATATAATGTTTACGTGGCATTTCAAATAAATGGGAAAGGGAACAACTTTAAATCTATGGTGTTTAAAAAGTTGCTTTTCTCAAAAAAAAATAAGAAGAAATTTAAGATGGAAAGAGAAATGAAAACAATTACATTTGTCATACATGTACTTTTTTAAAATTTCCAAACCACCATATCCATTGTCTTCTATTGTTGAGTATGTGATAAGTATTTCCAACTCAACACATCTAGGGCAAACATCTTCTCTTCTGTTGCGACAAAGACCTCTTCTAAAGCTCACTATTTTACCGAAGGCAGTCACCTATTGTCTACGTGTGCAAATCAGAAACCATGGATCCTATCGTACACCATAGCCTCCATCATTTTCCATATAGAAACCATTACTAAGACATCCAATCATTTCTCTTTGCTACCTTCCATCTCTCCGTGGCTTCCTTTTTCACACTTCTACTATCACCATCCTTCACCTAGGCTTGCTGATTATCCAATTCACCTGTATAGATTCCTCCTGATGCTCTATAATGCACTTTAGAAAATATAGCCACCAACAGTGCAAGAAGGTTCCCCTTTCTCCACATCCTCGCCAACACCTGTTGTTTCTTGTGTTGTTGATTTTCACCATTCTGACAGCTGTGAGGTGATAGCTCATTGTAGTTTTGATTTTTAATTCCCTGAGAAATGTAGTCAGAATACACACTC